ATATGAATAGTACGCTCGGACTGCCCGTCAGTTTGAGGATGATAAGCCGTGCTAAAGGTCAATCTAGTGCCCAAGGCACTCTGCAAACTCTGCCACAACCTAGCGGTAAAACGCGGATCTCTATTTGAGACGATCGACACTGGGACCCCGTGCAACCTCACTATGTCCCAAATATACAAGTCGGCAAGATGATCTACCGAATCTCTCACGCGCATAGGGATAAAGTGCGCCAACTTAGTCAACCGATCTACAGCCACCCAAATAGCATCACTACCCTGCTGAGTCCTCGGAAGACCTACCACGAAGTCCATTGTGACATGCTCCCACTTCCACTCGGCAATAGGCAAGGGTTGCAACAAACCCGCTGGCCTCTAATGTTCGACCTTCACTTGCTGACAAGTAAGGCACTTAGATACAAAAACTGCCACATCTCTCTTCATACCCCGCCACCAAAACTGGCGACCCAGATCGCGATACATCTTAGTGCCTCCTGGATGTACCACAAGGCGTGAATGGTGAAACTCTTGGAGTATCTCCTCTCGGCAAGACTCCGGCACAAACAGACGGTCTCGGTATCTCACACTCAGGTCAGGATACACAGTCATACCCTTCTCATCCTTCCCGTTGGAGATCTTCTCTCGGAGGGATTCTACCTCAAGGTCACCTCTCTGTGCCTCTAACACTCGACTCACAAGCGTAGGCTGCACAGCTACAACAAATAAGGCCGCAGCCTCAATGGATTCACCCAAAAGCAAATCAAACTCGCCAAGTGCACCCAACATCTCCCACTCCTGGATGGCTATACAAGCTACATCACTAATGGATTTCCTACTAAGGGCATCGGCCACCACATTGGCCTTTCCCGAATGATAGTGCAACTCAAAATCGTAATCCTCAATAAACTCCATCCATCTTCTCTGCCTCAAATTCAAGTGTCTCTGTGTAAACAGATACTTCAAACTCTTATGATCCGAGAACACCTCGAATCTCTCACCATACAGGTAGTGCCTCCAAATCTTCAAGGCAAAAATCACAGCTGCTAACTCTAGGTCATGTGTAGGGTAATTCTTCTCATGTATTTTCAACTGACGTGAGCCATAGGCTACTACTTTCCCCTCTTGCATCAACACACAACCCAAACCCTCTAGTGAGGCATCACAGTACACCGCATAACCCAAACCTCTCTCCGAAATAACCAACACTGGAGCAGTAGTAAGTCTAACTTTCAACTCTTGGAACGACTTTTCACAAGTCTCACTCCACACAAATTTGACCCTTTTTCGTGTCAATCTAGTCAATGGCAAAGCTAGCCTGGAGAACTCCTTCACAAAACGGCGGTAATACCCAGCTAATCCCAGAAAACTGCGGATCTCAAAAACACTCTTAGGCTGTGTCCAATCCTGCACTACCTCTATCTTGGATGTATCAACAGACACCCCTTCCCCGGAGACTGCATGGCCTAAGAACTTAACCTTTCTTAGCCAGAACTCACACTTCCCAAACTTGGCATATAGCTTATTGGCTCTAAGCAATTCAAGCACCACTCTCAAGGGTTCCTCGTGCTCCACCTCCAAAGGTGAATAAATCAGAATGTCGTCCACGAAGACGACCACAAAACGATCTAAGAATTCCCGGAATATCTGGTTCATCAAGTCCATAAACACTGCCAGTGCATTGGTGAGCCCAAAAGGCATCACCAGAAACTCATAGTGGCCATACCGCGTACGGAATGCTGTCTTCGGAACATCTTCCTCTCTGACCCTTAACTGGTGGTAACCCGATCTCAAGTCTATCTTAGAGAAACAATGGGACCCCTTCAACTGGTCAAACAAATCATCTATACGAGGCATAGGGTACTTATTCTTAACTGTAGCCCGATTCAATTTTTGTAATTAATACAAAGTCTCAAGGCACCATCTTTCTTTTTAGCAAAGAGGGTTGGTGCTCCCCACGGCGAAACACTAGGGCGGACAAAACCCTTATCTAGCAACTCTTGGAGTTGAATCTTCAACTCACTCAACTCGGCTGGGGCAAAACAGTGTCGTGCCAAGCACTAGGTCAATAAAGAACTCGATCTCTCGATGGGGTGGTAAACTAACAAGGTCCTCGGGAAAAACATCCGAATACTCGCAAACCACTCTCGGCAACTCAATCCGGGTCTCCTCACACTCACTACTCATAAAGCTAGCGAGAAGACCACTAAGCTCACTCCGCCCTAGCGGATCATACACTGGTGGCAACACACTACCAACCCGATCCCTCAAGAAATGGAAACAATCCCCGCTCAAGGTACATACCATGACCCTCTGGCAGTAACAATCAATAACAGCCTGGTATGACGATAACCAGTCCATACCCAAAATCACATCAAAACCAGACATAGCCATAACTACAAAAAAGAATGGAAGACGGCGGTCGGCGACCTCTATGTCACAACCTCTACATCCTTGTTTCAAAATCAATTCGCCCCCAACAGGCGATACAACACATATAGGAGATGCTAACTGTGCCAACTCCAACCCCAAAACAGATGCAAATGCAGCAGATATAAAGGAATGGGATGCACCCATATCAATCAACACATTAGCAACTGAGTTGCAAAACAAAAAGGTACCTCTCACAACAGATTTTCCATTTGTGATTGTCAATATTATGTCAGAAAACCATGGTGTTGTTGAAATTGTTAGAAACATTGGGGGAGAATATAATTTCAATAATGCTGTAGTAATAAATTTTGGAAACTATTTGATAGGTTAGGCAAAATTAGAGAAAATTTCAAACCTTGTAATCTAATTGTTTCCAAATACTGATACTACTAATTCATTTGAGGTCACCTAGCTTAGTTAGGATGTCCTTTGAGGACAAATTACACTAAAATTTTGTAAGTACTAAAATATTTTTTCAGCGAAACAAGAACATTTTTAAGCTCTGTCAATGTTTATTAACTTTAATGCTAAACAAGTAATAGTTTTTGAGACTTAATTAATTAGAAACGCAACTAATCTTGTTTTCTAAATGTGGTCAATGGGCATAATTAATGTCACTATAAGGGCAGAGTTTCGATTTTAAATCAAATCAAAATATATCAACATATCTGTATTACCATTGTGCAAACTACTTTGAACCACCTTCTTAGCGATGAAATAAGTATATTTACAATTGCAAACAGTATTAAAATATGAGAACGAATAATAATTTTTTTTTTTCAAATTGTGGATATTGCTAATTATAATTATTATTATACAAGTTTTTTTTTAATTATTTATAAGTAATTACCAATATATAATATCATCATTAGATAACGATTAAAAAAAACATAATCCATATCATAAAGTTTTGAATGGTTCCAATGGACTTCATCACTTCAAACACATCACTTTAAACAAATTCCATGAGTTGGAATAAGGTTTCTTTAATTAAGATTTTCACAAATGTTCATATGATTTTGAAGTATGTGTGATTTTTTGATTTGTCAATTTAATCTTTAAATGTTTGATTTAATAGATAAATCATATACTATTGATGACGGGTCATCATTCTTTGAAGTTTGATGGAAACTTGGTGAACCCTAATTCAACAAGTCAACTTTCCAACTACACAGTCGATAGTTAAGGTGGAGCGTACAAAGATTTCCATGATAGAAATCATAAGCATATTTTCAAAAAAAAAAATAATAATTTCATAAAATTCATGCTACTAAAAAGGGAAATTGACAGTTGTCAAATCATTACAAGTTGTTCTGAGACAAAAAATTTCACTATTCTTAAAAAAAATTCAAAGCTATCCTCCACCGATAGCTCAAAATAAATATTTCTATTCAACAAATAATTTTCAATAAAAGATATAATCTCATCATTTTCAAATGGAAGTGATATTACATATTCAACTCCACCATACTCATCAACATCTGCATTCATTCCATTCTTACACAACCCAACATCGATTTCCATTTCCTTTTTCAAACCAAACATCCATAATTTTAGGTCAAAACCCCTTGCTCTTTAAAAATCAATTTCAAGTAAAGAAATCCACCATTTTAACGTATCTTAATCATAAACACAACCCCCATAACCTTTCTCAAGAACTCATTTGAAAATCTCTCTTTTGTATTTCAATTTCAAACCCTATGTTTAACCCAAAAATAAAATCAATTAAATTTCTAGCCAATCGTGAATGGAACAGTGGTAGAACATAAAAGGATATTTTCAACCATTGGATTGAATCAATTTAATGGTGCATATTTTGACACATAGACAAAAGTCCCATCAAGATTCAAAAACCTTTCTCCCTTATTATATAGATAATCCAATTGTTTAAATAGAAAAAGTACTACAGTAATATTTCTAGGCTTCAAAATCCAATCAAAACCTGAACATGAATGGAAAATAGAAGATCAATTAGTTTAAAGATCAAATTTTGATAAAAATCTTTAGTAACCTCAAATCTTCAATAGCACATAAAAACGAATACGACTATATATCGAACAGAAAATGAGAACCAAACTCAATAGTGTTATTCGTGCTTCTTCAAAACTAAGAGTAATAATATACAAATAGAAAATTTATATAGAATTTTCATACATCATGATGTGACTCAATATCCACATTTCACTTTAAAACAAAACACCCATCAAGATAAATGCATTTACAAAAATGTCATTCCCACATCATTCTTGTGGAGCTTTTGTACAAATTTCATGTATGAAAAGAGTTTTCCTAAAACAAACTAAAGAAAACTTCCTCGACACACAGATAAACCAGCTCCCTCTGCTCTATTCTCACCCTCTCTCAACCTCTCCATGGCAGTACTAACTTAATTTATACAGTACAAAAACTAATTAAGATGTCTAATAAAACACAAAATCTATCTATAAGATAAAATTTATAGGAGAGTAATATATGCTGCCAACAAACAATTTACAAGTAAATACATATTTGCTTTGTGGCCTTTGATAGAGTAGAATGGCAAAACTAGTTTCATGCAGGTGTAGCCAAGCAAAATAGTTCAATAAAGGTTTCATTGATTTATGATGTGAATTACTGTTTTTCTTCTTATCTATATCCCCAAAGATAATCTGCATCCATTATTTTTGGGAAAACAATGTCACAACAAATTATCTACAATGGAAAAAAAAATACGCACAGTATTTATATCTGGATTAGCAGTCACAATTTGCTTTTTAGCAGGCAAAAACTTATTCTGCTTAAACTCCATGTCACCTGCAATAAAATAGAAATTAGATATCAAGCTCTTGAGTTATCCAAGAAAAGAAAAGAAAAAGATTTCAGGCTCTCTCTATTATACCTGTCAATGAGATTAAAATCATCAAATAAGTATGACTATGAAAAGAGGACAAAGCAAAGCTACAAGAATCTCTCTCTCTCACTCAGCTTGGGAAAATGGAAACCGAAAGAAAGGAAGCAGGGTAGTAACATAAACATGTATTTCATTAATATATTACCCATAACGAACATGTTCTACATCTACAAGATTTAAAAATACCGTGGACTTTCTATCCACTACAAGTCAAATACCATGTTCTATATCTACAAAAGTTCAGCTACAGAGAACATCCATCTAAGGGCGTAAAAAATTCCCTTTTTGAACCATCTGCAGAAATATAAAATGACAGAAGTCCTCTTCAATTGTGCATTACCTGACCCTTCCTTGATATTACACAATGAGAATCATCGGCATTGGCAACAATAAGTTGATTGTTTCTAATAATTGCAACACAAGCTGTGCACCCTGAAGTTGGTCTAGAAAAATCAGAATGGGGCCCCTAAAAGCAATAATTGGAGTAAATGAGTCACAAGGATATAGTGAAAGAAGGAAAAAAAGAGTACAAAAATGAAAACTCATCAAGCAAGTGTTCACAAAACATAATCAAATTCACAAGGAAAAAGAAAAAAATAGGTTTGAAGTAGCTAAAAACAAAGCATGTAAATTGTAATGTAATGTCATACATATGTTCCGGTGAGTCTCCAATAGGTATATAACTGAATATAATTACATACAACACAATACCATGAAATCTGGCCTAAAAAGAAAGTCATGGAAAAGTTTCAAATGATGATAGTAATTAAGCAGTCTCCAGGCGCACACGCACACAAAAAGAAAGAAACTAAGGATTTGATATTCAAAGTAATTTGATCTATAAAACAATTGACCTTCAAAGTTCTCCAGAATTCATAAGAAAATAATGATCAAATAAAGATAGAATTCAACTATAGATCAAATAAACTTATCCAGAATTCATAAGAACCTAATGATGTAATTACTTTCTTTTTTTTATTTTACTAGTCAATGTTATGAAAAGAAAGGCACCAAGCATTTGCCAACCGGGTACATAGAAAACAAAGAAAGGAAGCCAATGACCTGATATGGTAATGAAAAGACAACATGCACAGTAATCAATTCACAAAAATTTATTAATAGCAAACACAAGAATTTGTGATACAACAAATATAAAATAAACCAAATACAAAATCTTTGCCTCACAGAATTACTTTTCAGAATAGTTTAATATATGAAAAGAAGAAGAAGAAGGATTAAATTACCGTACAACATAGTTTAATATATACAACCAATTTAATGAATTTGACTTGGAATGCTCACCTACTAATCAAAATAACTGAACACATTCTACCGCATATTATGCTATGTAATGTGAAGGTACAGATGCAGGGGGTGGCATAGTCCATTACAACATGCATTGATTAAAGCACACATACAGATGCAAGCATATGTTTGTGCAGGGTAGAGAGAACGAAAGAGTATCCATCGGAATATGCACAGACTAGGCCTCTGTTTTGTGCCAGTGTACCGAAGTGGCAAGGAAGGGGGAGAGGAGAAAGCACCACAAGATGATGCATTGAAGCTGAGGAATAATGCTCTCAGTCTCTCACAATCAAAGATCCATTTGTTTAAGGAACAACCTATATAACGCCAATGGGAACTTTCAACATAAAGTTTTTTCAACTCTAATTAAAAATAATAATTCCAGGTAGTCTTGAAAAAAAAATTATTTATTTGAGGACAAAAAAAACTCCACATATTTACATGAACTATTACTGTTTCCAGGTTCACTAATTCATGAATTACTTCTGTTTTTAGGTTCACCAAACATAAGTGGGAGTCAATGTGCAATGTCACAAAACTATGGAGATCAATTTGCACCTCCAAGCTCCTAAGTTTCGACTTTGATCGAAAGAATCCCCATACCAAATATACAAGTAAAAAATGGATTTGAACAAACCAACATGGAGCCAATATATGAATGAGAAGTTCTAGTATCTTAATTTAGTGGGAGCAAGCAAGTACCTTCTCAAAAGCCCAATTCCCCCTTCACATTTTGAAAATCTGGCTATTGTAAGACAGTTTCAGATCTATTGAGGAACCACATTCTTGCAACATGAAATTTAAAAAATTGGGCAAGATACACTGAAATCTCATAAGTTATGTGCTTAGTACAAATTCCCCCTTCACATTTTGGAAATTACACTAACCTCCCCTGCCTCTGTTTGTCCATTAATGGAAGTAATAGAAAATGAACAGTTACCATAATACCATCACCCAAAAAAAAAAAAAAAAAACCCTCAAATGTCCCCTCTCTCTTTCTACCTCCTCCATCTCCGTCATTTGCACTCTATATTCTCACCTAATCAGCCAGACACATCCCACCGCACCAACATGCACTACCGCTTCCCATTGCTACCATCACCCATCCACACAAACACCCACAATGGTGACCCACAATATTAGTCTCATATCAATCCTCCTTAACCCATATTTCAACACCTGGAACTTCACTGTATCAGTGGCTATGGTCACAATGCTCACAACAATGGGTGAGCGAAAAGGGTTATAGGAATGAGTGACAGCTATGGTCATTGCACGTATGGTTATTTTATTTTATTTTATTTTTGATAACTGGGTGTCCAACCCAGCTTACGTGCATCTCGACTAATCCCGAAATCCACACAAAGCACCCCCTCCATGTGGATCAGGCAAATCTCAGGTAGAGCACATGGGCGTGGTCTCAAGGAGTTGATAGCACCTAGTAGGAGTTGAACCTGACCCCCAGGCCCCAAGCTCCACTTATGGTTATGTCGAATAGGTTATGGGCAGTGGCTGTGGCCAGAGTGATTGGGAATTAGCCAGTGAAACTCATTGGAGCTGACCATCCTATATTCACTTTGAAACAAAACCTAAAGTCATTGATGAATAAGGCACCATCACATTGTGTCCTTCGGCAACGCCCTCTCCCTTTTCCCCAACTTGCAACCTGAGAGTACCATTTCAAACCAAACCCAATAGCAAACCACACTTGGCTGGATTCATGGAGACTTTGAATTGAAAAGAAAAGCAGCTAGAAAACTTATTGAATTGGAGCCTCAATCCTGTGCAGCTTATGTATTAATTTCAAGTAATTATATGGCTCTTGGAAGGTAGGAATTTTTAGGGAATGTGAGAATGTGAATTTATTGTCATGGTTTGCTAATCATAATGTGAGCTATTAAATTTTCTGGTTGCTCTGTGGGATTGTCAAAAGGTGTGCCAGCCATGGTTTGTGATGAATTAGGGTCGAGAATATGTATAATAGGTGTTTGATTGAAAGACTGAGAGATGTTATAGGGTTAAATTTGAAAGTTCAAGTTTGGTTTTTCCAAAATTTTAAGGTCAAATTTGGGTTTAAAAAAAAAAAGAAAGAAAGAAGAGAGAGTGAAGAAAACAGGGAATCATGCAAAATAAGCTAGATATAAAATGTCATGTATAAGTCCTACGAGTAATAGGAAGACTAAAATCATCAACATCCTAAGTGCCCTTAAAAGGAATAACAACAGGAGACACATTACATAGAGGATTAGTAACCTGTGCAAGAGATGACAATTAGCCCAGCAGCACATGGATAGTCAACTCCTTTTGGCAGTAAGAGTAGACATTAAGGACGAGGAGAAATTCAAGTGGGGGGAAAAAATGTTTGTTTGGCACAGAAAACCAGACTTCAAAATAATGTATTCTCATTAAAAAATTTACCAATTAAAAGATCTCTTTAAAGTACTTTCAATTTGTGAAAAAACTAATAATTGTGGCACATGAATACATTATTTTTAAGTTTTTGATTTTTGTGTCAGACAAACAATTTAAGACTGAGGTAGTATCTTCATTTTTGGCTCAAAGGGAAGTTTTGAGAATCTTCTTTTGTCTCGTAGATTTTACAAGAGCTCAATTGTGTTGATGCCTTTTTATCTTGACTTTGCTCCTTTCTAGTGTACAGAGAGGTTGCGCCCCTTTTGGTGCCTTATATTTATACATGTATATATATATATATATATTTTTGATAACTATAAGCACTACAATAAGTATAGTCCCCATTTGATGGGGTCTAGGAGGGGTAAATTGGGTACAATCCTAACATTTGGCATAATTTGTACAAAATGGCTGCCCTGTTCAAACCCACAACCTCAAGGTTAGTAGGCTGAGTTTTAACTACTAAACCAGCAGCCCCTTATATAATATATATATATATCCTATTTCCTTACCAAAAAATACATGTATCTATATATATCTTATTTACTAATTACAAAAAATACATGAATGTATATACGTATATATATATACACACACACTTAGCGTTGAATCCCCAACATGTCCTCTTGATTTTTCAAAAATTGTTGTCTTCAATGTATCCACATCCCATCATGTCTGTGATTTTCTAAAAACGTTACAACATTCAAAAGACTAATATCAAGATAAATAAAAACACTATGATGCATGAGTACAACCATATCAAATGTACAAAATAAATCACATTGAGAGAGTAGTATGATAATTGAAAACAAAAGGTACAGCATACCTAGTTACCATCCCTGTGCAATCAACGTCAATCTTGCTAAATAATGCAGTAGAGAAGAATGATGGGAGCTTGCAAATTTCCTTCGTAATTAGCTTAAATTCTGACATCCCAAAAAAATAGATATACGGATCGATAAATAAATGGCATACCAAAAAAAATAGAAGAAGCAAATCAAGTCCAGGACTATCATATAGACAATGACATTTTATGCATATCTCACCATGGATTTGTAGTCCATCCAAGTGACCATATAAAAACTGATTGATTCTGAACAAACACCATTCTTTTAGTTCATTTGGAGGTGGTCAACCATTTTGAAAGTAGAACTGAAAGAGTTGCAAACATCCCAATCATAATAAACCCCCAAAATAACATCATGTTTAAAAGCTAGCAACAAACAGAAATGGCACTATAAAAGTGACAAACTAGTGGAAACATTTCTAGTAAACACGAAGAAAAAACATCAGAAACTAGCTAACGTGAGGTATCAATTCTTTTACTGGCTCACTTACTAATTTTAGAGGAGAACCTAAAGTAGATGGGCCCACTCACTGTTTCACAACACAAGGAGAACCAGATGAACTTCATGGTGAAAGTGGAGGTGCACTGCCAGCAGGAAACATTGAGGGCAATGAATTACTTGAAGCAGCTTTTGGGCTAGATGTTCTGGTGACATTCAATGGAACACCTACCTTTGCATTGCTAAGCAATGATTTCACCTGCACTCACAGAAGGTAACTTTTGAAATAGATTGCTTCCCAAATATTTACCAAGAAAAAGAGAAGGCAAATGGAGGAAAAATGCAAGAGACGACATACAAAGTATAAGCCTTACCATTGCAAAATGTGAAATCAGAAAATACAAAACAGTTCTAGACCAATGGCGAGCCCAAAATGTTCCTAATCTAAAAGGATATATGAATGGCGAAGATTGAAAACCATATAAGATATAACACATGAGAGACTGCAATTTAACATTTTTGCAGCAACTGAGCAAATTTGTCCATTCACGAAATCATTAAATTGGAATTAAATTATTGGCTGATTTGTAGAGATTTCCATTTACATTGATATATCTACAAGCTAGCATGATATCAAATGAAACCTTGTAGACTCTCCCTTGTATCTACTGAACCAACAAGAAGAAAATGAAAAGATACTTAGTTCCCAGCACTCTGTTAGTCCATATTTCCAGTGCCCAAAACCACAAGCAATCCAGTGATAGCACTAATGCCACCTCTAAAAATACATCGCCTTTTTTTTTCTTTTTACAAGTTTAAATAAATATTATCATCACCAAATCTAGATTCCCCTACCACTATACCAAGATGGCGTCAATCTTGATTATTTGACCAACTCCACAATTATGATACATCACCACACCAATAATAAGTTTCCACAACCATCATCACCAGAATCGTTGCAGCAACATAGCTTGTCAACTGTAAGAGGGGTTAACTCAAGCCCATCTAATTGATTAAGCCCAATCGGAGCCTAGTCTTAAAGCTCAAAATTAGTGGGCCCGGAGATATCATTATCAAAGGATCCAGATTGCTCTAATCTAAAAGCTTTCAGATCCACGAACCTTGAGACCTATTTGAGCTCAGACTCAAAAGGGTTTTGAGCAAACCTAGAGATCCGAGCATTTGGCGGTTAAACTAGCTTATACCCAGGTCGAGGCGGCACGACTTAGAGGGTCCATGAGACTCGGCAATATTTGCGGCAAGGCGTTCTCTTGAACTACCCGTGACCCTTTGGGATGATTGGGGATCGTTGGTTCGGTGTGGCTAAGAAGAAGGGTTCGCCGAGAGGTTGATCTCATCTTCGGGATTTTTCTCATCCTTGAAGAGGTCACCTCCTCAAACAAAGTGGTTAGAGAAAATATTCCTCATGTGCCTTGCACATGGGCTCCATCCTACATCATGAAGTGCCTATAAATAACACTCACCCATAGCTTTACGAGGATGGTTTTTGGAGATAATATTCTTAGAGATAACTAATCTCCACTCTCCATTATTTCCTTGAAAGTGAAAATGGGAGATCCATGAGGGAGCCTTACTATTGTTCTCTCTAACTACTTTACCTTCTTCTTCACCCAATCTCTTAGAGCATGTTTGGTACGATGGAATGCGTTGGAATGAAATGCCCATTCTAGCTTTACATTCCCTTTCTCTTGTTTGGTACACCTTATCTAAGTGGGAATAGTCATTCCATTGGAATGGCTATTCCAACAAAATGTGGGAATGCCTATTCCTTCCTCCAATCTAAGGAATGGCCATTCCATTCCATCATAGAATCA